TGCACGATTTTTTCAATTCCACTAAAACATTTTATGGGCCAATCTCTCATGGCACAGCCCCCCTCCGCTCATCCGACGGTAACTCCCTAATTATCGATAAAGAAGGCCTCCTTCAGTGCTGGAAAGAGCACTACCATTCGCAGCTCAACCGAAACACCGACTTGGATGTCCTGACTACCCAGCAGGTCCCTCAGCATCCAGAGCTGACCCACCTCACCTATCCTCCATCCCTGGATGAGGCAGCTACTGCCATCAAATAGATGAAAGGTAAGAAAACCTCAGGACCTGATGGAATCCCAGTCGAGGTGTATAAAACAGGAGACCTCTACTTACCAACCGTCTCCACTATCTCCTGGAAAATATATGAGAAAAGGAGGAAATCCCCCAAGCTCTTAAACACTCCTCCCTCGCCAATATTCATAAGAACAAGGGAGACCGGTCAGACTGTGGCAACTACCGTGGGATCTCTCTGCTGTCCGTAGCTGGTCAAGATTATCGTCCGAGTCCTCCTAAACAAACTTCTTCTTGAGGTGTAAAAATTCCTCCCAGAATCTCAATGTGGCTTTAGACCATCACAAGGCACCACTGACAGGATCTTTCTTGCCCGCCAGATACAGGAAAAGTGCAGAGAATAGAGTCTTGTCCTGTACATGGCCTTCATTGACCTAACCAAGGCCTTCGACTCGGTCAACAGGAAAGCCCTTTGGTGGACTCTCAGCCGCTTTGCCTGCCCACCAAAATTCATCACCATTGTGAGGCAACTCCACGATGGTATGAACGGCAGTGTCCTGTACCATGGCACCCAGCCTGAGTTCTTCTCCATCCAAATGGGGATAAAACAGGGATGTCTACTGGCACCAACTCTCTTTTCCATTTTCTTGGCTGCCATCCTTACTCGTGCCAGTGCCAATTTAGCCAGTGGGGTGAACATCCAGTACCGGATGAAGGGTCTTTTCAACATAAGACGACTCCAGGCAGGAACAAAGGTGTCGGCAGCTTCCATTACTGAACTTCAGTATGCAGACGACCTCACCCTCGTCGCTCACACTGAACGCGACCTACAGGAGATCCTGAACACTTACGCAGATGCGTATGCACTCTTTGGCCTTGAGGTGAACGTACATTAGACTCAGATTCTCTTTCAGCCTGCCCCTGGTTCAGACACACCTCCACTATCCATCCAGCTTAACGGTACTACACTCTCTAATGTTATCCACTTTCAGTATCTCGGCTCCCACCTGTCCACCACCGCGGACATCGATCAAGAGATATCAACATTGGATCAGATGAGCATCTCAAGCCTTTGGCAGACTCCGTACCCGTAACTTCAGTTGTAGAGAGCTGAAATTATTTACAAAGTTAAACGTATATCGAGCAGTGGTCCTCACTACCCTGCTATACGGCAGTGAGACATGGGTCACATACAGGAGGCACCTTAAGACACTTTAAAACTTTCACCAACGTAGTCTACGTTCCATCCTCCGAGTTCGCTGGGAAGACAAGAGAACAAATGCCAGTATTCTCACTGACACCAACTGTAGGAGCATCGAGGCTACCATTATCCATGAACAGCTACGTTGGACTAGCCATGTTACCCGCATGGACGACAGTAGACTGCCAAAGCAGCTACTTTACAGTCACTTAACGAATAGTAAACGTAACGCTGGCGGGCAACGGAAAAGGTATAAGGTTAGTCTTAAGACAAACCTGAAAAAGTGTCAAATCGACCCTCTCACCTGGGAGACGATTACTCCACACCGTAATGCTTGGAGGAGCACCACACGAGAAGGTGTCAATGCTTTCGAGTTAGCCAAACTGCATACCGAGGCAGACAAGCACCAACGCCGGAAACACGCTGCCGCCGCCCCTCCTGCGCTAGATGTAGCCCCCCCACATGTGGAACATGTGTGGACGACCCTGCCGATCCCATATCGGCCTATCGAGACATCTTAGAGCTCACCAACGAAGGTGACATCCTTAATAACTCATACCATTGTATCATACCTGGATGATCGTCATACTCGATTCCGAGTGACAGCAAAGTAGTAGAACGTATGGTATTGAGTGGGGTGAACATATGGTATTGAGTGGGGTGAATATAAGGTATTGAGTGGGTGAACATAAGGTATTGAGTGGGGTGAACATATGGTATTGAGTGGGGTGAACATAAGGTATTGAGTGGGTGAACATAAGGTATTGAGTGGGGTGAACATATGGTATTGAGTGGGGTGAACATAAGGTATTGAGTGGGTGAACATAAGGTATTGAGTGGGGTGAACATAAGGTATTGAGTGGGGTGAACATAAGGTATTGAGTGGGTGAACATGAACATATGGTATTGAGTGGGGTGAACATATGGTATTGAGTGGGTGAACGTGTGTTATGTCGCTGCACTTATCTGAGCCACTTGTCAACACGCCTTCGTCACACACACACACACACACACCTGTTGAGCTTAATATTTTATGGTTAGGTATTGACGTGTGTGTGTGTGTGTGTGTGTGTGTGTGTGTGTGTGTTATGTACTGTGATTGGTAGGGTTTAGTCTAGAGAGAGAGAGAGAGAGAGAGAGAGAGAGAGAGAGAGAGAGAGATTGATAACCTAACCTCATGATTGGTAAAAGTATGGTGTTGACAGGGCCGATACTGGTTAACTATGGCAGGTACAAAACCACGGCTCCTGTGTGTGTGTGTGTGTGTGTGTGTGTGTGTGTGTGTGTGTGTGTGTGTGTGTGTGTGTGTGTGTGTGTGTGTGTGTGTGTGTGTGTGTGTGTGTGTGTGTCTGCTTCACCAGTTCGACACCTTGATGGATTCGGTGTATTATGTATCCAGTGTAGTGTATCCTGTACTACGTATCTTCAGTATACATGAATGTAAAGCATGTATCCACTGTATATATGTATCCAGTATATTTCTATCATATTAAATATATATACATGACAAATTCAGGCCACTATTATACTCTGGTATATTCTTTTATTATTTCCAGGGTGACTGTATAGCGTTACATCATGAATACACATATATGGTGCGAATAAAAAGGTGTGTGTATATGTGGAGGAGCGTGGTGGTGATGGTGGTGGTGGTGGTGGTGATACTGGTGGTGATGGTGATGGTGATGGTGGTGGTGATGGTGATGGTGATGGTGGCGGTGATGGTGGTAATGAGGGAAGAGGGATATAGTGCACAAGACTCAGGTGTCTATTAGTGGAGGTCATGGCTCTCTCTCTCATTCGTCTTCACTGAGTCGCATATATTAATACCGGCGGTGTATTCTGACCTGGGTGAAGGAGGAGGAGGAGGGGGTGAAGGAGGAGGAGTAAGGGGTGAAGGAGGAGGAGGAGGGGGTGAAGGAGGACGGAGTGAGGGAGGTAGTAATGAACGACCAGTTAGACAGAGTGGGAGATCAAGGGTTCTCAAGGCTCAACTCCTGCCAAGTTGTATGATGAAGGAAGGAGAGGGAGGAGACATGGAGTGAGGGAGGAGAAGGAGACTTGAAGTGAGTGAGGGAGGAGGAGAGGGAGAGAAGGAGGAGAAGGACAGAAGGGTGTGAGGGAGGAGACGGACAGAAGAGTGTGAGGGAGGAGACGGAGAGGGGCATAAGGAGTAAGGGAGAAGGAGAGGGAGAGTAGAAGGAGTGAGTGAGTGAAGAAGGAAGGAAGGAAGGAAGGAAGGAAGTGAGGGAGATTCCATGTCAATAATCTCCCACAGGACACTACCGCCAGGGACAGATTCAGTCAACTCTGCCTCAAGTTTAACCCAAGGGTCGCTCTTACACACACACACACACACACACACACACACACACACACACACACACACACACACACACTATACATATAACTCTAGTTCAACCTTGTGATCTGAGCGTCTGTCGGGATGGGAAGAAGAAACTTAAGTGAATTAACAAACTCTGGTTGTTTTCGTATTATTTGGGGTCATTTCTGTAATCATGTTTAGCTTAATGACTTGAGATCTTCAGCAGGTGGCCCAGCAGTTCAGGGTATTGGTACAGGTGTGGTGGTAATATTTTCAGTCTAATGCTTGTTAAGTCGTATCTCACTTAACTGTTACCTAACCTAACCTAACCAAACCAAACCAAATCTTGCCTAACCTAACCTAACCGAACCAAACCAAATCTTGCCTAACCTAACCTAACCCAACCAAACCAAATCTTGCCTAACCTAACCAAACCAAATCTTACCTAACCAAACCAAATCTTGCCTAACCTAACCTAACCAAACCAAATCTAACCTAACCTAACCTAACCTAACCTAACCTAACCTAACCTAACCTAACAAATCATAAGCATAGAAAACTGAATCTATTGACACTTGGAGAAAGTTTCACGTATTAAAACTTGGAGTGTCTTAACCGTAGACAATTTAATAAATATATTCGTCACCTGTTATCCTCTCTCTCTCTCTCTCTCTCTCTCTCTCTCTCTCTCGTGTGTGTGTGCGTGTCTGAGTAAAGAAGTTGTATATAGTGTGTGTGTGTGTGTGTGTGTGTGTGTGGAGCCAATAATCAGTGTCATAACAACTTAAATATATACAAAATACTCAGGTGTGTTAAGGTACACAGTCGAGTACACCTGTGTTTATGTGGCAGTTCAGGTGTCGAAAGTTGGCGTCACTCTGATGTTTTGGTCTGTTGACACACCACCACTGTGAATGTTTCTTGTACACATACATACATACATACATACATACACACATACATACATACATACATACATACATACATACATACATACATACATGGCTTGGCAGAGAGAGAGAGAGAGAGAGAGATCGACTTTCTAGTCACCAACAGTCGTCGTAGGCCAGGTCGAGAGATAGAGAGACAGGTAGACAGAGAGACATACAGAGCGAGATAGAGAGAGTCAGACAGCCAAACAGACAGACAGACAACCATACAGCCAGACAGACAGCCATACAGCCAGACAGACAACCATACAGCCAGACAGACAACCATACAGCCAGACAGACAGCCACTTACTAGTCACCAGCAGTCGTCGTCGTGGCCCAGGTCGACCAGAACGATGGCACCACCAGAGGCCCGAGTCCCCAGTGACGACGTGTGACATGACCAAGCGACCCGTCCACATGATGCTTACCCGCAGGTCACCCAACACCTAGAAACGAGGTCATTAGAGGTCAATTCAAAGGTCATTACGGGTTATTATAGATCATTATAGGTTATTATGGGTGGTTTAAGTACAATAGGGATATAATAAAATGTAATAAATACAATAAGAATACAATAAAATACAATAAATACGTTACGAATACAATATACATATCAATAAAATACAAAGAATACAATAAGAATACAATACATCCAATTCATAACTACAATCAGAACAAAAAATACAATCCAAAAAAATACAAAAATAAGATAAATCTGACATGATACAATTACAGCCTGGAAAATAAACTCATTTATTACAGAACATAAGGTAATATTCCTCCCTCTTACATCAACATAGAGGGAGGGAAGGGGGGCAGTGGGAGATAAAGGGAGGAAGAGATGGAGAGAAAAATGGTGGGAGTGAGTGAGTGATGGAGGGAGGGAGATAGATTGAGGGAGGGAGGGAGAGTGAGTGAAGGAGGAAGGGAGGGAAAGGTCGCATCTCACCCATCAATCTTGAAATAATATTCTTCTCTCTTCTATTGCAATGACAGATGGTGGGAGGGGAGAGGGAGGGAGGGATGGAGGAGAGAAGGGAAGGAGAAGGGAGGGAAGCTGAGAAGGAAGGAGTGACGATAATGCATTGAATGATTATACCAAATTCCGCTGGTGTCATGTGTCGCGGGTGTCATAATATGTGTCGTGTGTGTCATGTGTCGCGGGTGTCATATTATGTGTCGTGCGTGTCATGTGTGTGTCTGGTAGGGAAGCAGCTCAATATAAATGCGAATAAGAACAACCCCCCAAAAAAAAAAAATCTCACGAAATACGAACGCAAATACATTATGGGCGTACTTGATAATTACATTCATAAACTGTGTGATAAAAGCAGATAGTTTTATTTTGATACAGTGTGGTTGCGTGATATTCAGTATTTTATAACTATACATAGGCTATATTTATTATACTATATTAATGGATAAATACTATACAGAAATACAACATAACATTATTATTTATTACCACAGTTCTCTTCTATTACGGCTATTAATAATATCTGATTCCCATTTATTGTGTCTAGTTAAGTATGCATATTACAAATACTCTGTAGTGTAGTATAGGGTGTAGTGATAATGCCTCAGCGGTCTATTTTAGGTCATTTGCTGTCAAAAATGTTGAGTGTATCAAGTCCATTATCTGGTGTAAACATTATGTAAGTGACCCTATAGTGTACAGTACTGAGTCTCAAATACCCATCCGCCTGCAGGACCAGAGTTCAGGATCCAGGTTCACACAACATATTCAACTGTGCAAATGACCTAAAATAAACTACTGAGCTGTTGCTGAGATAGTCATGGCACACCCTGTAGTAAACATAGGTACCAAGAACCTCTTTAAACTAACTTAGAAAAAAAAAACATATATATTTTTTCTGTTAACACTTACTAGCAACAATATAATCTAGTAATATTATGTAGCTAAGAATTAATTGCTAACATTCTGTACATTTTTCATTTTATTGTAGGTAAGAACCGCCAAAGCTCTACAAATACGAATGGTAGTTAAAGGTACTGAATAAGGCCAGGGTGTAGGCCAGCCGTGATACCTGTAGGATATAGGTCAAGTTTACTGCGTTATTTCAAGTATTATGAAGACAATGGTGATGGGGACGAGAGGGACACCCTTCCTTCCCTCCCTCTCACCAGTCAGGATGTGTCGCCCAGGGGTCAACACTCACCAGGTAAGTGTATGATGGTAATAAGCTCACCTGATGTGTTGTTACTGATCAGGTGTGACCAATATTTTGTCTTAGTCTTCCAATACTTCAAATACGCTGGTGTTATATATGTGTGTCGCTGGTGTTATATATGTGTCGCTGGTGTTATATATACGTGTCGCTGGTGTTATATATATGTGTCGCTGATTTTATGTTTGTCACTGGTGTTATATGTGTCGCTGGTGTTATATATGTGTAGCTGGTGTTATATATGTGTCGCTGGTGTTATATATGTGTCGCTGGTGTTATATATATGTGTCGCTGTGTTATATGTGTCGCTGGTGTTATATATATGTCGCTGGTAATATATGGTCGCTGGTGTTATATATCTGTCGCTGGTGTTATATATGTGTCGCTGGTGTTATATATGTGTCGCTGGTGTTATATATGTGTCGCTGGTGTCATATATGTGTCGCTAGGCTATATGTGTCGCTGGTGTTATATATGTGTCGCTGGTGTTATATATGTGTCGCTGGTGTCATATATGTGTCGCTGGTGTCATATATGTGTCGTTGGTGTCATATGTGTCGCTGGTGTTATATGGTCGCTGGTGTCATAATGTGTCGCTGGTGTTATATGTGTCGCTGGTGTCATATATGTGTCGTTGGTGTCATATATGTGTCGGCAGTTATATGTGTCGCTGGTGTCATATATGTCGCTGGTGTTATATATGTCTGTCGCTGGTGTTATGTATGTGTCGTTGGTGTTATATGTCGCTGGTGTTATGTATCACTGGTGTCATATATGTGTCGCTGGTGTTATGTGTGTCGTTGGTGTTATATAAGTGTCGCTGGTGTTATATATGTGTCGCTGGTGTTATGTGTGTCGCTGGTCATATATACGCTGGTTATATATGTGTGTCGCTGGTGTTATGTATGGTGTCGTTGGTGTTATATATGTCGCTGGTGTTATATATGTATCGCTGGTGTCATATGTGTCGCTGGTGTTATGTGGTCCGCTGGTGTTATAAAGTGTCGCTGGTGTTATATAGGTCGCTGGTGTTATGTATGTGTCGTTGGTGTTATATAAGTGTCGCTGGTGTTATATATGTATCGCTGGTGTCATATATGTGTCGCTGGTGTTATGTATGTGTCGTTGGTGTTATATAAGTGTCGCTGGTGTTATATATGTATCGCTGGTGTCATATTGTGTCGCTGGTGTTATGTGTCGCTGGTGTCATATGTCGCTGGTGTTATATGTGTCGCTGGTGTGTGTGTCGTTGGTGTTATATGAGCGTCGCTGTGTTATATATGTGTCGCTGGTGTTATATGTGTGTCGCTGGTGTTATATATGTGTCGCTGGTGTCATATGTGTCGCTGGTGTCATATATGTGTCGCTGGTGTTATATGTGTCGCTGGTGTTATATATATGTGTCGCTGGAGTTATATCGTGTCGCTGGTGTTATATGTGTCGCTGGTGTTATATATGTGTCGCTGGTGTCATATATGTCGCTGGTGTCATATATGTGTCGCTGGTGTTATATATATGTGTCGCTGGTGTTATATGTGTCGCTGTTATGTGTGTCGCTGGTGTTATATAAGTGTCGCTGGTGTTATATATGTGTCGCTGGTGTTATATGTGTGTCGCTGGTGTTATGTATGTGTCGTTGGTGTTATATATGTCGCTGGTGTTATATAGCAAGTCGCTGGTGTTATATATGTCTGTCGCTGGTGTTATATATGTGTCGCTGGTGTTATATAAGTGTCGCTGGTGTTATATATGTCTGTCGCTGGTGTTATATGTATGTGTCGTTGGTGTTATATATGGTCGCTGGTGTTATATATGTGTCGTTGGTGTTATATATGTGTCGCTGGTGTTATATGTGTCGCTGGTGTTATATGTGTGTCGCTGGTGTTATATAGTGTGTCGCTGGTGTTATATAAGTGTCGCTGGTGTTATATATGTCTGTCGCTGGTGTTATGTATGTGTCGTTGGTGTTATATAAGTGTCGCTGGTGTTATATATGTGTCGTTGGTGTTATATATGTGTCGCTGGTGTTATATGTGTCGCTGGTGTTATGTGTCGTTGGTGTTATAAGTGTCGCTGGTTATATATGTCTGTCGCTGGTGTTATGTATGTGTCGTTGGTGTTATATAAGTGTCGCTGGTGTTATATATGTGTCGCTGGTGTCATATAGTGTCGCTGGTGTTATATATGTCGCTGGTGTTATGTGTGTTGGTGTTATAAGTGTCGCTGGTGTTATATATGTGTCGCTGGTGTTATATGTGTGTCGCTGGTGTTATATATGTGTCGCTGGTGTTATATATGTGTCGCTGGTGTTATATGTGTCGCTGGTGTCATATATGTGTCGCTGGTGTTATATATGTGTCGCTGGTGTTATATGTGTGTCGCTGGTGGTTATATATGTGTCGCTGGTGTCATTGTGGTGCTGGTGTCTATATATGTGTCGCTGGTGTTATATGTGTCGCTGGTGTTATATATATGTGTCGCTGGTGTTATATATGTGTCGCTGGTGTTATATATGTGTCGCTGGTGTTATATATGTGTGTTGCTGGTGTTATATATGTCGCTGGTGTTATATATGTGTCGCTGGTGTTATATATATGTGTCGCTGGTGTCATATATGTCGCTGGTGTTATATATGTCGCTGGTGTTATATATGTGTCGCTGGTGTTATATGTGTGTCGCTGGTGTCATATATGTGTCGCTGGTGTTATATGTGTCGCTGGTGTCATATATGTGTCGCTGGTGTTATATGTCGCTGGTGTTATATATGTGTCGCTGGTGTTATATGTGTCGCTGGTGTTATATATGTGTCGCTGGTGTTATATGTGTCGCTGGGTCATATATGTGTCGCTGGTGTTATGTGTCGCTGGTGTAATAAGTGTCGCTGGTGTTATATATGTGTCGCTGGTGTTATATGTGTCGCTGGTGTTATATATGTGTCGCTGGTGTTATATGTGTCGCTGTCAATGGGTGTAGAATGTGTGAGGTGGGAGGGAGTGGTCGTCATGACTACCACAGACGTTCGTGATCACTGACGGGGTGTACCAGCAGGGTGAAACGCAGGGGAGCAGCAGGGTAGCAGGGGTGTAGCAGCAGGTAGCAGCAGGTGTAGCAGGGGTGTAGCAGCAGGGTGTAGCAGGTGGTGGTGTAGCAACAGGGTGTGGGGCGCAGGTGGGCAACAGGGTGTAGCAGGGGGTGTAGCAACAGGTGTAGCAGCAGGGTTTAGCAGGTGTAGCAGGTGGGTGTAGCAGCAGGGTTTAGCAGGTGGGGTGTAGCAAGCAGGGGTAGGTGGGGTAGCAACAGGGTGTAAGCAGGTGGGTGGTACAACAGGGTGTAGCAACAGGGCTTGAAGGTGTAGCAGCAGGGTGTAGTAGGTGGGTGTAGCAACAGGGTGTAGCAGCAGGCAGGGGCAGGTGGGTGTAGCAGCAGGGTGGGCAGGCAGCAGGTGTACAGGTGTAGCAGCAGGGTGTGTGGGTGCAGGTGGGTGTAGCAGGGTGTAGCAGGTGTGTAGCAGGTGGTGTAGCAGCAGGGTAGCAGGGTGTAGCAGCAGGGTGTATATAGGTGTAGCACAGGTAGCAGCAGGGTTTGCAGCAGGTGGTGTAGCAGCAAGGTGTGTAGCAGGGTGTAGCAGGTGGGTAGCAACAGGTGTAGCAAGCAGGTTTGCAGGGTGTAGCAGGTGGGGTAGCAAACAGGTGTAGTAGCAACAGGTAGCAGGTGTAGCAACAGGGTGTAGCAGCAGGGTAGTAGGTGGGGGTAGCAACAGGGTGTAGCAGCAGGTGTAGTAGGTGGGTGTAGCAGCAGGTGTAGCAGCAGGGTGTAGCAGGTGGGTGTAGCAACAGGGTGTAGCAGCAGGGTGTAGTAGGTGGGTAGCAACAGGTGTAGCAGGTGGGTGTAGCAACAGGGTAGCAGCAGGGTTTAGCAGCAGGGTGTAGCAGCAGGTGTAGGTGGGTAGCAGCAGGTGTAGTATGGGCTGACACCCTCGTTAGCCGACAACTACTTCATTCTCCTTTCGGCCTCCCGCGGTGTACACTATCTTCTGCTAAGAGCCATGTGGTGTCCTGACCTGGTGGCCCTGTGGGTGTTGTGGTGGACCTGAGGGTGTTGTGGTGGACCTGAGGGTGTTGTGGTGGGACCTGTGGGTGTTGTGGTGGACCTGTGGGTGTTGTGGTGACCTGAGGGTGTTGTGGTGGACCTGAGGGTGTTGTGGACCTGTGGGTGTTGTGGTGGACCTGTGGGTGTTGTGGTGGACCTGTGGGTGTTGTGGTGGACCTGAGGGTGTTGTGGTGGACCTGTGGGTGTTGTGGTGGACCTGAGGGTGTTGTGGTGGACCTGAGGGTGTTGTGGTGGACCTGTGGGTGTTGTGGTGGACCTGAGGGTGCTGTGGTGGACCTGTGGGTGTTGTGGTGGACCTGTGGGTGTTGTGGTGGACCTGAGGGTGGTTGTGGTGGACCTGTGGGTGTTGTGGTGGACCTGTGGGTGTTGTGGTGGACCTGTGGGTGTTGTGGTGGACCTGAGGGTGGTTGTGGTGGACCTGTGGTGTGGTGGACCTGTGGGTGTTGTGGTGGACCTGTGGGTGTTGTGGTGGACCTGAGGGTGGTTGTGTGGACCTGTGGGTGTTGTGGTGACCTGTGGGTGTTGTGGTGGACCTGTGGGTGTTGTGGTGGACCTGTGGGTGTTGTGGTGACCTGTGGGTGTTGTGGTGGACCTGAGGGTGTTGTGGTGGACCTGAGGTGTTGTGGTGGACGTGAGGGTGTTGTGGTGGACCTGTGGGTGTTGTGGTGGATCTGAGGGTGTTGTGGTGGAGTTGGGAGAGGGTGTCATTAAGCGCTACACTACACCCACAACACACACTACACTCACCTGGGTGTCGTCGTGGAACCACCGCACCTCGCCCTCGACGCTGTCATCACCGGGGATGGGCTGGACGTGGGGCGGCACCTCACACTCGAGCAGCACCTTCTGACCTCTCACCACCAGCACCTCCTCCTCTGCCCCTTCTCCTCCTCCTCCACCACCGGCCAGACTCGCCTCGCCGTCCTCCTCCTCCGCCAACACCAAGTCCTGCGGGTGTGTTGTGGTGTTGACGGCCAGGCTCACACCCACGGCTACTGGCTCACCGCTGTCCCGTCGACCACTGTGGCGCAGGTACCGCATGTCTGTGAGGAGGACAACAGTAGTGAGGACAGTGTGGTCACGTTACAACATGACTGTGAGGATAAAAGTACAGAGGATTATAATGTTGTATAAGTCATAGTCCTTCCGGTTGGAGCGTTAGTGTATGTGTGGTATTTTCTCCCGTGATATACTGTGAAAATTAATACATATATGGAAGGGGATGGGGGTGGACTAGAGGTGACGGTGGAGGCCATCTGATGAGGGTGTGTGTGTGGATGAGTGGATAGCCTGGTGTGTGTGGTTTAGGGAGGAGGAGATGTGTGGGAGGAATAACACACACACACACACACACACACACACACGCACGCACACGCGCACGCACACACACACACACACACACAGTTGATCATTATGAAGGTAAACGTCCGACATCAGCATGTGCCATCTGCATTGTGTGTCGTCCAACATTATTCTACACGACTAAACACAACTCGTCCTCCACACACTGTAATGTCGTGTGTGTGTGTGTGTGTGTGTGTGTGTGTGTGTGTGTACTCCTCCCACACCTGGCTATCCACTCATCCACACACCACCACTCCTCCTCAGATGGCCTCCACCTCACCCTAGTCCACCCCCATCCCCTTCCTACCATTATTCCATCTCTCTCCCTCACACATTTTTCTCTTCCATATCCCTTTATTCCCATTTTCTTACCTCTTATTTACTCCCTTTATTATCTCTTCTTCCTCTTATACCCACAGTCCATATATCACACCCACCCCTCTACCACCATCGCCTCTTAACACGTTATTAAATCTTTCCTTTCATTATTATTTACCTCCCGTGGCTCTGGGAATCAGTTCATCCGCAGTTTATTCCGTTTAAAAACTCATTCCCCCGTAGATGTCTGAAACATTATATCTAAACTAGTCTTATTATTTTATTTTATCGATTCTCATCTTTATTTGTTTAATAGTATTTTAGTTTTTGTTATTTAATTATTTTCTGGTGAAATTTCTGGAACATTTATTAATAAGACTCATAAACTGTGTAATTGCGCCTTCTCTCTCTCTCTCTCACGTATGGCGACGAGGAACCAATCTTTGTAATGGCAGAAAACAATATCATTTTTAACATGGTAGTAAAGCCACAACACACACACACATATTATTAAAGTCTAGGAACAGTGTGATCACAACGCCCGCTTGATGTAGTGTGACGGGACGGGCACACACACACACACACACACACACACACACACACACACACACACACACACACACATTAAGGCTAATTTACCTTCACTTGATCCTTTCTCGTATATGAACCCAAAGCTTTTAGGCTAAGAAATTTTTTTTTACATAATTTTAAACCTAAAATAAGAAAAGATCATCCATACTTAGTCGCCATGTTGAAGATATTTCTATATCCTTGTGTCTGATTGGCCAGTTTTTCGTCTTGTAGTGTAAAGCGTTTGGTGATTGGTGAGTTTTTGCTCTTATTTCCACCAATGATGTTCGTCTTCACGCACACACAAGCAGTGACGTCATGTGCAATATGTCTTCATGAAGCAGTAACACGCGAGTATACTGTTTTAGCATACAGACCAACACACTCAAGTCTAAATATACCTCTTGTGTATGATGATATAACGTTTGTGTATGATAATAGCCCAGTGTAATGGCCACTTAAGAGAGATTACTTACAAGAGAGTGTAACTTAACTGGAGTACGATAACTTAAAACTGGTGTACGATAACTTAACCTTACAGTATGATAACTTAACCTTACAGTACGATAACTTAAAACTGGTGTCGATAACTAACCTTACAGTATGATAACTAACCTTACAGTAAACTAACCTTACAGTATGAAATAACAACAACCTTACAGTACGATAACAAGTATGATAACTTAATACGATAACAACCTTGGTATGATAACTTAACCTTACAGTACGATAACTTAACCTTACAGTACGATAACTTAACCTTACAGTATGATAACTTAACCTACAGTACGATAACTAACCTTACAGTACGATAACTTAACCTACAGTACGCTAACTAACCTACAGTACAATAACTTAACCTTACAGTATGATAACTTAACCTTACAGTACGCTAACTTAACCTTACAGTATGATACTAACTACAGTATGATAACTAACCCTACAGTACGATAACTAACCTACAGTACGCTAACTAACCTACAGTACGATAACTAACCTACAGTGCTAACTAACCTTACAGTATGATAACCTAACCTTACAGTATGATAACTTAACCTTACAGTACTAACCTAACCTTACAGTACGATAACTAACCTACAGTATGTAACCAACCTTACAGTACGCTAACTTAACCTACAGTATGATAACTTAACCTTACAGTATGATAACTTAACCTTACAGTACGATAACTTAACCTTACAGTACGCTAACTTAACCTCACAGTACGATAACTTAACCTTACAGTACGCTAACTTAACCTTACAGTACAATAGCTTAACCTTACAGTACGCTAACTTAACCTTACAGTACGCTAACTTAACTTACAGTACGCTAACTTAACCTCACAGTACGATAACTTAACCTTACAGTGCTAACTTAACCTTACAGTACAATACTTAACCTTACAGTACGCTAACTTAACCTTACAGTACGCTAACTTAACCTTACAGTACGCTAACTTAACCTCACAGTACGATAACTTAACCTTACAGTACGCTAACTCTAACCTTACAGTACAATAGCTTAACCTTACAGTACGATAACTTAACCTTACAGTACGATAACTAACCTTACAGTACGATAACTTAACCTACAGTACGCTAACTTAACCTTACAGTACAATAGCTAACCTTACAGTACGCTAACTTAACCTACAGTACGCTAACTTAACCTTACAGTACAATAACTTAACCTTACAGTACGCTAACCAACTTACAGTACGCTAACTCTAACCTACAGTACGATAACTTAACCTTACAGTACGCTAACTTAACCTTACAGTACGATAACTCTAACCTTACAGTACGATAACTTAACCTTACAGTACGCTAACTTAACCTTACAGTACAATAGCTTAACCTTACAGTACGATAACTTAACCTCACAGTACGATAACTTAACCTTACAGTACGCTAACTTAACCTTACAGTACAATAACTTAACCTTACAGTACGCTAACTTAACCTTACAGTACAATAACTTAACCTTACAGTACGATAACTTAACCTTACAGTACGATAACTTAACCTTACAGTATGATAACTTAACCTTACAGTACGATAACTTAACCTTACAGTACGATAACTTAACCTTACAGTATGATAACTTAACCTTACAGTACGATAACTTAACCTTACAGTACAATAAATAGCTAACCTTACAGTACGATAACTTAACCTACAGTACGATAACTCTAACCTCACAGTACGATAACTTAACCTACAGTACGATAACTAACCTTACACTACGATAACCTAACCTTGCGAGTACGATAACTTAACCTTACAGTACGCTAACTTAACCTTACAGTACGATAACTAACCTTACAGTACGCTAACTTAACCTACAGTACGATAACTTAACCTTACAGTACGCTAACTTAACCTTACAGTACGCTAACTTAACCTTACAGTACGCTAACTTAACCTTACAGTACGCTAACTTAACCTTACAGTACAATAACTTAACCTTACAGTACGCTAACTTAACCTTACAGTACGCTAACTTAACCTTTCAGTACGATAACTTAACCTTACAGTACGCTAACTTAACCTTACAGTACGATAACTTAACCTTACAGTACGATAACTTAACCTTACAGTACGATAACAACCTTACAGTAGATAACAACCTACAGTACGATAACCAACTTACAGTACGATAACAACCTACAGTACGCTAACAACCTTACAGTACGCTAACAACCTTACAGTACGCTAACTAACCTTACAGTACAATAACTAACCTACAGTACGATAACTTAACCTTACAGTACGATAACTTAACCTTACAGTACATAACTTAATACAGTACGATAACCAACCTTACAGTACGCTAACTTAACCTTACAGTACGATAACTAACCTTACAGTACATAACTTAACCTTACAGTACGATAATTAACCTACAGTACGATAACTTAACCTTACAGTACGATAACTTAACCTACAGTACGATAACTTAACCCAGTACGCTAACTAACCGTACAGTACGATAACTTAACCTACAGTACGATAACTTAACCTACAGTACGATAACTTAACCTTACAGCGATAACTTAACCCAGTACGATAACTTAACCTACAGTATGATAACTTAACCTTACAGTACGATAACCTTAACCTACAGTACGATAACCTAACCTTACAGTACGATAACCAACCTTACAGTACGATAACTAACCTACAGTACAATAACTTAACCTTACAGTACGATAAACTTAACCTACAGTACAATAACTAACCTCACAGTACGATAACTAACCTTACAGTACGATAACTAACCTTACAGTACGATAACTAACCTACAGTACGATAACTAACCTTACAGTACGATAACTTAACCTTACAGTACGATAACTTAACCTACAGTACGATAACCTTAACCAGTACGATAACTTAACCTACAGTACGATAACTAACCTACAGTACGATAACAACCCTACAGTACGAAACTAACCTTACAGCACGATAACCAACCTTACAGTACGATAACTTAACCTTACAGTACGATAACCAACCTTACAGTACGATAACTTAACCTTACAGTACGATAACTTAACCTTACAGTACGATAACTTAACCTTACAGTACGATAACACAACTAACCCTGTAATACGATAACTGACCCATTAAGATGTAATTTTTTTTTACATTTTAGAACCAAATAACACGTGAGGAAATTACATAAGGTGGAAAACTTCTCTCAGTCAACCAACCAGTCAGTCAGCCAGTCAGTCAGTCAGCCAGTCAGTCGTCAGTCAGCTGGGTGATGGACACTAGATAATATAAAATTTTATTAAACACCCAAA